CTAAGCAACGCTGCAGAAGGCAGGGGGACGGAAATTACAATGGTCAGTGAAGTTTAAAACACACGCATACAGATACTCTCTGGTAACTGCAAACACTACCGCATTTTTATAGACAATCTAAACAAATAAGGTATTTCCATGAAAAGTTTTGATGCTTCTGCACCTAATTCAAGGAAGCTGACCCGTGTGCCATACAATTGGAAGGATGTTTGGTGGATACAACTTTCTCTGTTCTGAGACAGGGTAAAACACAAATGTGTAAATGGGAGGGTTGTGCGACCGGTCGCCCTCAAAAAGCTCCGGAGCCACCGCAGACTCCGCCCTACCTTTCCTTTCTTGAGAGCAGTGTAGACATCCTTGTACTGCTGGTACTTCTCCAGCTCCGCCTTCACCAGCACCTGACGGATGTGCATGACCTCCTCCACCGTCAGAGCCAGACATTCCACTGGGTAACAGAACTCCTCCTGGAAGCCAAAAACCCTGTATTATTTCAAAGCCAAATGGCTTCTTCCAGACTTCAACCTAGCCAACCAGCCACCTGGTTAGTAACTCCAGCAACAGAGGGTTTCTCCCTTCAAACTGGAATTGCACTGGCTCGCTCACGGGCATCACACGAGTTCCAAACCGTCAGAGACTGCATGAGCGTTATCTAAACGGTCTGATGTTCAACCAACAATGACAGTTTTCTTCCTTTTTCCTCCTCAAACCCCTTGACCCTTCTCTCTGTTTGTCTTCTATTACGAAGATCGCTTTCAGACCAATCAACGCTCAGGTTTACAATTTGAAAGGGAAAAAGTAATTTGGCAGGCGGCGTCACTTTTAAATGTACCGTTGGAAGGCACGCAATTTCTCTCAGACTCTGTGACACCCGGAGCGGCCAAGGAAAGTGGTTAATAGCCCATTCTAGCAGAAATCCTTTATTCAGTGGTACCACATCTTGGTGCTCACGTGATCAGAATCGCACCAAGACTACAGTAAGTTAACTCAGTTCAGGCAGAAAACTTCTCCTTTCTGCCCCGGGAAAGTGACAGCAGCAATTTAAGCTTCACAGAATAATCTTCAACTACAAAGCAGGAGAACTGGTTACCCAGTGCTGCATGGTCAACGGCAGAGACCGGGAGACTAACAACACAGCTTCCCACGTACAGAATTTTGCGTCTGTTCTGTGTCACTGCATTTAGGGGAATATTGAGTAGAGAACTCCTGAATTCGGTACCAGAGAATAAAAAGCACCAACCAACCCAATTTGTAATCCAGCCCTGTAGTTGATTATACATTTCCAACAGAAAGACAGAAACCTCTGTGGGAACTCCCATCGCTTTATGCTTGGTGAACCTTTTCAGTCAGCCCGGAGGGGCGACCGTGCGGTAACGACAGCGCCACGTGACGCGCTCTGAATAAGCGAAGGAAATTTCTCCTGCGAGCACAAAGACGCGGCTGACAGTTTGGAGACCTCGTTTACAAATTGAAGGGATGAATCGGATTAGCAGTGAAATGCTTCCCTTCCGTGTTCTCAGAGGTCTGTTCTGTCTTTCCATTAGGTTAAAAAGCAAATAATTTCTACGTTGCAGACCTGGCAAACATTAGCATTTAAGAACCACCACATTTTTAAAAACTGTTGTCTTACCTATCTAGAAAGGGAACACAAAGAAACTTCTCTCTGTTTAAGGTACCCCACAAAAGACTAGAATTGAGTTAACTTTGTTAGATTTGCCAGCTAAACCTTCGGGGTGTAGAGCCACTAGTTTTCTGGAAAGAACAAACTACATCCAAAGCAACTGCAACTTGCTCTGAGGTGTAAAACTGCACAGCCCAAACAAAATCACTTCTGTTCCTGACGAGCAACTTTACAGCTGGCCAGCAGCTCTTGGCCTTTCATTCTGGGATCTCCCCATAGCAACTGCCTGGCTACCGAGAAGGCACGGCTGACGGCTGGGGCGAGGCGGGAGAGGAAGTGGGTGGGAAAGCGGGATGCACACAATGCCAGCGAAGCCCCTCGCCTCCTCCTCGTGGGAGACGGAGGGGAACTGTCCACGGTGAATGAGGCTGGCTGAATGCTTGTCATCAATCAGAGCTTTTAAGTCCTTTACAAATACATTTCTTATTTGAAGCTCTTCCTTCCCCCTCGTGACCACCCATTCCTTTAATTTACAGAACAACGACGTCAGGGACTATTGAGCCTTTGAAGAAAGTCTGCGGATGTGCTACAGGTGCAGAGCAGGTACTAGGGGAACAGTGTGGGCCTGTCGTTGTACCTATCGAAAACGATGAGCGCTACAGCAAATAGAAATAGCAGGCAACGGGGGAAACATAGAAAATGGTCACATGTTCAAATGCTAATGTTTTAATTCCAGAGGTTACACAAGGACAACAAAATGTTAATGCAACATTAAATGAAAGATAAATATTATTCAGAAAGCTGCTTGATTTTTTTCTCCCCCCTTTTCGGAATAGAAATAAGTACACAAGAAAATCTTATGTTTCAACACTACCTCTAAGACATTGAAATTAATTAAAATTACGCTAAGCACTGACTAAACTTCATTAAACAATGACGCTTTGGAGTTATTGCTCAAACTTCCAGCAAGAATCTACACTCAAGCTGGGCTGCTCCACGTGAGAGAACTTCAGCTCTCTGCAACACAACAGGGCATGCTAAAGACAAACCGGGGTTTGAATGGTCTTGACTATTTGGAATTGCTCAATAGTAATTTTAATATGAAAGACAAGTCACAATTCTAATTTTTAAAGGAAAAGGAATCTTACTTAAAAATAGTATTTTCAACCTAAAGTTTCCAAGATCCTCATTAGAATTGGCTTAACACGTTGACTGTGCAGTCCTATTATACACACCGTAATTAACAGCTTAAGGTGTATATGTGTAAATTTTTTTTCTGCTCGGGGAAAGCAGTAAAAATTATATATCCATAATGTGAAATAAAGTGCTTTCTGGGTCATTCTCAGCATACACACACCTATTAGCTCCTTATGACTAACACATTTTTACACTAATATATTCCTTGTAAAACTTCTCATTAAAGGAGGTCACTAGGCATTCAAACGAGCTGCCTCAGTAAGCTGCAGTATGAGTAAGTGCTGGATTGCCCTCTGAATTCTGCAATTCAGCATTAGTCAAGTGCTCTAAACTCTCATCGCTTCTGCAGACTCTAAGTTGCTAAGAAGTCAGCGGGATACCTCAACTATAAAGTCTCCTGCAACAGGTTTCAGACTTTCACTTATTAGTTGGGACAAGAAAAAGAAGGAAAAAAATAAATTATTCTACATGGGGGTAGATGAATCAGTATTTCTTTTTAGTGGAGATGCCTTCCCTGGCACACAGCTATTAGTTATTCTGTGAGTTCTGATAAATAAGTGTGCTGAGGACTAAAACTGTACGTAGGTTTTCAAGTCAAACAGATTGCAAATGCCCTTCCGTTCTACACGGTGTATATTGTTAGAGACATAAAACCTTATTCTTTTCAACACAGTCCAAGGATTACAATAGTTTTGCTGGATTTTTGCTGCAGGATCTTCATGTGCTGTACCATTTAAGGTCTGTCCCATTGACAATCTTGTGATGTTGCATTTTAAGTTTGCTGTCCTTTCAGAAATGATTTCTTTTCCCCGTGAGGTGATTGAAGACACACAAATATCCTACACACACTGAAATCAACGTCAATCAGGTGCAGTGTCCCAGCCTAAGCTTTAATTCTCGCCACAGCTCAGGAAGTGCTCCCCTAGGAGGGAACATGCTGGTGAAGGTGATTTCCAAAGCCAGCGAAAAGAGGCAAACCTTTGCGGGTTTCCACCTGCTGGCAAAAGCTCTCTCACAGAGATAGTACATAGCCCCTGCCACCCCGCACATGGCTGCTTCAACGGGATGAGAGCTGAGCAGAGCAGCTGTTTGCATAGTTGAAAAAAGTGGTCTGAAAGTCATCCTTGGAAATAAACGGGTTATCCTAGGCACCTGAACAATAGATAGGAAGCAGAGAAGCGAATGCGGTGTATAAACGAAACCATTAGCTGCGGTCCTCTGGGTCACGAAAAATAATAATGATTATTATTAATAATAATATTAATTATAAAAGCAAACAGACTACAAAGGCATTCATATGTACACCTCAGGACACTGGCTTCATCTCGCTGATCAAGCGCCGAGTGGTCTCACTGCAGTGAGCGCACCACCAGGCTGACCCCCCGAAAACCCCCAGAGCCACCTTGCCTTTACGCCTTGCCTTTCCGGTGTAGCGCTGGTAGGGGGACACAGCAAAAGGCCTAAGCCTGGCATCTTTCCAAGTCTGTGTCCCCTCCCCACCGACTTCAGCCTAACTCCCTCTGTCTGATGAGTTCACAACCCCGTCATTAGAATGCAAAACAGACCAGCTTCTTGTTAATCCTGCTAAGAGACTGTGGCAAACTCCTGCCTGTTTTCACTGGCACAGACGGCTATTTATTGACGATGTCTCGTCCACCTTGGAGAGAAACTGCAGCCACAGGAGCAGGCGCTAAGAAACGAAACTCCATCAGTCCTGGAGGAAGGGACGAAGAAGTGTGAATTCAAGTAAAAAGTAAATCATATTCTGCACTTATGGAGAAGCATTCACTCCAGGAGCGGCAAGGTTACGTACGGAGCATCCGACGCAGCCACCGCGAGAAGCTGGCATGTCTCTGGGGGAAGGAAAGGCTTGCAGTAAGCCAAAGCGTGGAACTGGGCTGGTGCCAGCATATCAGAACCCATCTACAAAAACCAAACCCCAGAGTCTTGGGGGAGTTGTCTGCAAACCCCTAGGGGGCACTATTGCCAAGTGAAAGAACTAGCTCTCTAGGCATCAAATAAATAGGTCCTTATTAACACAACCTCATTTCGTTTCACTACTGATCTTCCTTCTTTCTCATTTCATGGCCCAAACCAAGCTAGGTGACTGTTCCCTAAAGATTAAAAAAAAAAAACCAAAACAAACAAACAAAAAACCCAACAACACCCCAAAACAAACCATGTCCCCAACCACACACAAAAAACCCCCCAAACTCACCAAAAAAACAAGCACAAAAGAAACTAGTAAAACCTTTCCCATGTGTTCCCACATTAATCTGACTTGTCTAATGTCTTTTTTCCCTTTTCCTTTAGTATTTTTACGGGGAAGGGGAATAACTGAATTGGGTTTTCTCCGATGGTTTTATTCCGTACGTATTTTTCTAGGTGTATGTCTGCGAGCAGACTGACAGAGGGAAAATAGCTACGTGGTAAAAAAGGCCCTGCTAAGAACTTGGTCGACATATTTAAAACAACGGACTCATGTATAAGATTTTTAGGTTATATGATCTCCTCAAATGCATGAGAGATCAATACTACAAAGTAACATTAGATACCCTGAAAGTATCATGGAGCAAATGCCTCAGTGTAAGGTGTAACGCTTCCTCCCCTCCTCCCTTTAAGCAGTATGCCTATGGATGACTCTGGGCCCATCAGAAAATAAAGCTTGTGCTTCCGCACACGGTGAGTGCAGGTGACAGGGTGACCCATTTTACATGGCAGCGTCTTCAAATGCATGCTGCAGGAACCCTCCAGCTCGGTTCTGGTGCAACACGTTCTGCTCCAACATCACCTCGGCAGATGAAGTCTACTTGTGTAGTGGGTTTATCAACGTGCCACTACCTGACCTTCACCTGGAATGAGAAACTGCCTTCTGGTTCCAGGGATATAATAAACACAGTCTGGAAGACCCTCTGAAAAGAAGAGGAGGAAGCACGTTGTGGGCACATTTGGAGGTTATCTTCCTGTTACTGTTCAACTCCATCATCTAATAGCTTGGTATCTCGGCTACTACCTCTTGGGCCAACAAAAGCGCTCTTCAAAGCCCGTTAATACCACTGCACTAGAAGACGGGGTGAGTAAATCTTCCCTTCCTTTCAGAACTAGGATGTGTTTATCGATTTCTCCATTCACCAGCACCTCACGGGGCATACTTTGAAACCCTGCTGGCAGGAAAAGAGACACGGAACATATCCTGCACGAAATTACAAAGCACTAATCAGTATGTCAGCACAAACGAACCAGGATTTCATACCGTTTGCTGTTTATACTCTGTTGGAAAACACCTCTCAATTAAAGCTAATTGATCAAATGTACTGTACTTTCTTTTCAAGCAGTAATACAGGATTTTGCCTCAGTAACTTCAACAAAGCAAGGCAGACAAACCTTGACTTGGATTACTGAAAGAGCTTTCACATGTATAAACATTACCACAGAAGTTCTGAAGGTGGGAAGATGGGAAACCATTCTGTTCATTCAGCCATTAACTAAAATACTTTCAACAACTGAAAAATTCCCCCAAATCCCCCAATAGATCCACTGCTTCGGAAAATCAGTAAGGTGAAGTTCATCTGTTTTGGTAACATTCTGAAGTTAAATCAAGGCACGTGGCTTTACCCAGAGTCCTAATCAAAGTGCAAATGTTTTCTGAGGCACCTGTACCTGGGATTTTGGATAAATACGCTAGAGAGAGAAAGTTCAGATCTTGATTTCAAAACGTCTTTAGTAGCCAAGGGCTGTTTCTGAATTGAGGAGTTTTCTTTGAGGCAAGTCCTAATCACACTGAAGCCAAGTTTTAATTTTCATTATACTCTTAGCATGCCTCTTTTTCTCTCTCCTACTCCCTACTCCACTTACAAGTGATCTGGAGCTCTGTTTTGAAGGTGGTAGAAATTGTCTCACATTGGTTGGCGTTTCCTTTTCAATGGAGTGTCGTCTCTGAGGTGGCTGCCGTCTCTCGGGCTGTGGTGTAGAGGATATGGGCAAGAACTTGGGAGGCACTAAAGATTCAACCAGCATAAAACCAAAAATCAATTCTTGTAAAACAGACTGATGGAGAGCATTGCTGAGTACTTAAACCAGCCACTGATTTGCTCCAACTCCCACTACTGGTGGCTGAAGTTACACATCCACACTTAGATCATCTTCAAGACTGCTATCACATTCAGCACATTTTCCAGGTTGAGGGAATAGGAACGCTCGTAAAGGTCGCAAATACAGGCATGCTACTGCCCAGGTACCACTGTGTATAAATTTGGTGTTTCTGGGTATTGGCTTACTCTACTTATGTCACCACTGTGCACAGAAAATACAGGCACAGATTACACACTTCATTACAAAACCTTTCCAGTGAAACACTTCGAAACGAATCAAGAATACTGTTACACAGTAAAGCCTACAATCAGTATGCCTGGAAAAAATGTAACAGATCCTCCCCTCTTCCCAGGAAGTACTTCTGGGAAATGTGAGTGATTACTATGTGTCTTTCAAACAAGTGCATTCACTGCCATGGTGGCACAGATGCAGGAAACATTTAAATTGGTCTCAGCTTAGAATATGTTTCTGCAGGAGCCAATTCTTTTACGAGGTGAGCATAGCTAAATCATCCTCCATTCACTTGTGGATTCCTCTACAGTTCCACATCAAGTATGAAACCTCCTGTTTCACAAGGACATCCACATCCAGTGGAGGCTAATGCCTTCCAATCCTTAATCACATCTGACCTATTTCAGCAGGTTCTGTGGTTCAGCTCTAGAGGTTTATTCCACTAACAACACTCGGCTCCATCTTTCTAGAAAAGTTTCAGAGGAAGTTCACAGGATGGAAGACAACAGAAGCCTGCGAAAGCAGCCCCTGGGCTCGCTCAACAAAACTCACTCTTTCTGCTGCTGGTGCCTTCTTGAGAGGGGTCTTCTGCTTGCGAGGGAGAGATGCTGCTGCTACTTGCTGATTTGTGCACTGATTCTTCCTGTGTGGCAAGAGGAAAAGAAACAGAATTCCTCAGGGGTTGTTGTTTTTTCTTCTCTTACTGCTTCTTAGCACACAGAAATCACAAGCTATCAAAGGTATTTTGCACCATTCAATCACTCAAAGCCCGAGAAGAAGTCCTGAGAAAAAGATCGACTTTACACAACACCGAGTAAACAGAATTTTCAATGCTCAATTTTTTTAGAAATTGGAATAAATGGTGTATGGTTGGATTTCAGTGTATTTAACTATCACATTAAAAAAACCCAAAAATGCAGGATGAGAGGAGAGGTGCACAAATCCATCATAAACTGATAATATACTTCACTGTATTCAAGGACTTCTAAGGGTTTGCAGCTACCGGAGATACATTAACTCAACTTTCTATCTCACACTAGCAAAGAATTGTCACTCGGATTTCTCCGGTCTCCAAAGGAATGAAAGCCACTCATACAAGTGACTCAGGTAAAGAGAAATTAGTCTGATCTCCACTGTACCGTCCTCTAGTCCCTAATCTTGGTGCATTTCTCCTTCTTTCTGCACTGAAGTCTCATTCATTATATAAGCATGTTTCATCACAACAGCCGAGCGCAACTCCTGCAAGATAAATGGAACAGGCTTTGACTAACCCCTTTCAGCTACCGAAAGCATGATGCCACCCCAATTTTTAAACCCTTTGCTTTCACCTAAAACCTGTCTTCAGCCACCAGATACAGATACACCAGGAAGACTCAGATCATCATAGGAGCCTCCCGACGGAGCAGAGTTGAAGGACTGTGAATGCTCTTTAGCTCTAATGTGAATGCTTTTAACCAAGGAGAATTACATCATTTAAACTGTCAAGACTTACAGATCAAACAAGTGACCCGCTCTAAAATCCAGCAAGTGGTTGAGCTTCTCTCTCACAGATTTCCTTCCTTACGTGAATTGCAAGCAGGAAAACCTCCACGGACTGAAAGATCGCCTTCTTTGGTAAGAGCGCATCGGGAAAGCTGGCAGGATCACCCCGATGAGCACCACGCATCACAGGACAGAGGCCTTTACAAATTGCCATCAGGTGGTCTGGTCTTTCTGCTTAGCCCGAGGGTGTGCATGGTACACAAGGACACCGGGATGTAAACTGTTCCCACACACATGCCACAACGCAGTATTTTGCAAAGGGACTCAAACCACCTCAGATCCCCAAACTGTATAGTCACTTTAACACATCCAGTGTGACCCCACAGAACAGCTGCAATGGGAAGCTTGTAGGGAAGCTTGAGCAGCACATTTAGCTACAGCAGTTGTTTTTACTTCTGGAAACCAGGACAGTTTAGCTACAGAGCTAGCTCAGATAGCTTTGCATATCCCTGCTTCATGCCGCAGGGTTGCTTTAAAAGACTGCTGGAGACCTTGTAAGACAATGGGACGCTTTCTTCTTTAGAAGGGGTGCAAGAGTGTTCACAAGTCTAGAGTTAAACATTTAAATTGTGTGAAGGAGAATCACCCCTGTACAAAGGGAACTACTAAACTTTTCACTTTGTAGAAGCCAAATTCTTTTGAGTGGAAGATGACTTTCCCATTACCAGAGAAGCTAACAAGCTAAGAAGCTAACAAGCTAAGATGAAGAACTGAGTAGGGTGTCAATTAAAAATACATAACCAAGGTGCTGTGCTGCTCATTTTTATGGATTAAGAGCAGCCAGGGCTTCAGAGAGGGCTTTTTGAGGAGCAGGCAGGGAACAGCTGTCTCTGGAGCACAATCCAAGCAATCCTTGCTCTGGAGAAGTCTCTTGTTCTGTGGGACCCTACCCAGTCCCAACCAAAAATTGTGCTTCAGTTGTCAGCATCTTACACTGTAGAGTTTTACCAAAGACTCATTTGTGATTCAAGCCCAGGCGGTGCATTGAGTTTATTTACATGCTTTGCTGGGTTTTTTTGTTCTCTGTTTTCTTACATTTTTTCCAGTGTCTGAAACACTGGCACAGAGAGACGAGAGACAAAACAAGGTGCACAGCTGAAAATATACAAATCCTATGTATATTTTAACATAAAACTGTAAAATAGGGATTACAGAAATGTTTCACGTCCAATTTTGCTAATTGCCACCTTTCAATGGAAAGAAATAGCTATTGACCATTCTTCATTCCACTTCTGAACTCAAGATGGACACGATGTCTTGTCACATATTGCAAAACTATGCAGACACACAGATGTCTCCATCTTTTGTGAAAGACTTCTAGTTACTTCACTAGTAATGGGTGAACCCTGGCTATTCCAGTGGCCTAGGAGTCTTGAAAAAAAAAAGAGTGAAAGAAATGGACAAAAATAGAGGAGTAAGGTGTTTCTCTACGGTAAAGACCTACAAGAAAGTGTCCAGGAGCCAGAGTTTTGCAAAAGAATGAGAGAGAATGAACTGTCAGAGCCAATGGCTAAGTGTAGAAACCAGTAAGCATAAACACCAACCCAGGGGGAATGGAAGCCAGGAGAATCTTAAATTTGACATATCATTCTGCTCGCACAACAGATATTCCTGGTTTGTCATTTCAAATTACTTTTTCTGTGCGCAAACACATGCACTGAAAATGCTATTACTGCCCTATGATTTCTCAGACGTGGAAGGCTTTTTTGAGAATGAAAACTTGTGTAGGAAGCAGCAATGAACCACTGTATGAAGTTACTTCATAGCAATACAGGAGCTGTTGACTGCTGTGGTAGACTGTCTGACCTTTTACATTTGAAGTTGGATCAACCCAACATCGGGGACTGTGCACTTCTCCACAGAGAGCTAAACAATTAGTTTGTTGGAAATTAAAAAGAAACCCCAATAATTAAATGTTGTGAGAAAGCTGTAGCTTTAAAGGCATCACCTTACAATGTCTGAGTATGTTACTGACATGATTTTTGTCCAGATAGCAGTAGCTTCATTAGGAAGATGCCATTTTTATATCTCTATCAAAAATCACTCTTGGAGTGCTACTTCTTTTAGCCACACAAAGCAAAAGGCACTTCCTGCTCTCCCTCTGAAACTGTGATTTCTGGTGGTGATGCAGAAAAAAGCAAGGACAGAAAGCAAAAGGAATATTCATCCTTGCCTGCAAATGGGCACAGGGCCGTATCAGACCTTCCCTTTCACCTCTGGCTGGCAACACTGAGTGCTGGGGCACAGCCTGCATCACAACACTGCTGGGAGGAGAACAAAGGGGATAGAGGGGGAAAAAAACGCGTCTGCATCGTAGCTCATTTGGCCGTACACAGCTCAGCAGTGCAGGTATTTGCAGCCTGTAATTTAGGGCATAACACAGTCTAATTTAATTCCCAGTGAGTAACTCTAAATAGGTTAAACCCATTTCAAACTGCAGGCAAAGAGGTGGCCGAGTCATTCGTAGGCAATCACGCTCTTTCGTGTGTTACGTACAAAGTAAAAGTCAGGAAAGAAATAAGGCATTTGACAGAGCGATCTTCACTTTCTTCAAATGTTCTATATCCCACCCCCTCATTAGCTTGGAAAATTTTACCCAAACTCCCTCCAGTTTGTTTATTTACACTACTTTAGCACTGTTCCTGGGTCCCGACCAGTATTCTGCTGAGCATCCCCATCATCTTAATTGCTTCACCTGCTACTTCTGTTGACTCAAACCAGTACAGCGTCTGTTTTGTGACAGCTCAGTGTGGCTGATTTATTTTCAATTTATCTTTTGCTGTATGTTCCAGAGCTTATTCTATACGACTTTGCTTGCCTACACAGTATTGTCTAATCAGTAGTCGCAGTCAGGCATCTTATTTTTCCCTCCTCAAGGATCGCTTCATGTTTCCCTCTACAGAATTTTTTGTTTTACTGACTTCTGCTCATTTTTCCGTGTGATATATCCTGCTGCATTAGCTTCAGGATGCATCAAGCTACAAGCTGGGAAGCTGGAAGTTCAAGATCCAACTCTCACACCCAGGTCGTAATATTCTTGCATTCTGGGCAGCTTCATTCATATTAACGAAACCTCATGCAGCCTCTATTGTAATTTTAAAGACTGACGAGAGACTTCAGAAAGCAAATCTCCTCTGCTTTCAGAATAGATGCACCAAATTATGCACCCACACAAGTCATTCACAGGATAACCCCTAATACAAAGAGTGTCAAACTTTCACAGATCAAGAAAGTGAGCAGACAGATAAATTTCTCCCCACATCTACCTCTCCCCAGCCTCCTATCTTTCATCTTAGCTGGCTTTGTAAGCACCCTGTCAGGAAGCCCCTCCTTCCCCATTTTCTAGAGAGAAAGAGAGTCAGGGAAGACTGCCTTCCCCAGGCTAAAATTAGCCCCTGTGAATAAACCCTGCCTGCATGTGCTTTCCAGGCAGCTTAACTTTCAGAAAGATCCAGCTCAATTAATAATACTACTGGTGCAGAAGACAAAGCTCATTCTTGAGGATGTAATGTTGGTACTTCTTCAGGATCATACATAAAGCAGCTTTTAAGCTAGAGTGCTTTTTTAAGCTTTTCTCCTTTTTACGCTTTTAAAAAATTCTTTAAGTCTCCATTTGAGAAAGGATGGATCCCAAGTTGTTTCTCCATCAAAGCGGTATTGGCTTGTCTCTATCTGTGAAACATCTGTTGGGTTCCCAAGCCTGCGTAGCAAACTGACACTGGCACCAAACTACAGCCCCTCTGGCACAGCTGATGCTCTCTATTTTACAGCTGGTACAGTGAGGCTGGCCTCCCATTCGAGGCCTTTAGCGACAGCTCCTGCACGGGTGCCAGAAGGGCGCAACACATTTGCCTGCATTCCCAAAAGCATAATTGCTACACTGCGGACAGACACCGGGCATTTAGAAAATTAAGTGAATAGTGGGGTTAAGGCCAAAATTAGCGTTTAACCTTTTTAAAGCATATTCTCATTTTTAAGGCCTGATGTAGTATTTTTGAAGTACCGTGGGCTAACAAAGCAGTCATGGAAAATTCAGATTATAACCTGCAAATTCCCTTCTCAACTGATCAGCTCTGCAAATCAAGGAAAAAAGACTGGATTCCAACAAATCGAGAAGCAAGTCGTGTCCTGATTTTTTACCTCTGAATCTGAGCTGTCAAGTTCAGCCAACGTAGGAGCCTTCAGGAGTCTCTTGCGTTGTACTGTCACTTGGGCGGCCCCATTCTGCTTTCCTTGTGCCACGCCACCATTCACTACAGAGGCATCCAATAATTTTCTTCCAGCCTCTGGTGTGGACACATCTAGTAAAAGAAACAGAACAATTGGTGTTTGGACCTAACTTTTATGCTGCCTTCTCAAATCTTTGTCAAGGCAATACACACAGAAGGGGAAAAAAAAACATGATAGTTATATGTACGTGTGCAATTATTTTACTTTAGCAATACGTTGCTCAGAGAACTACAGGCAATGGCTTGTGGTACAGAAGCAAAATGCAAGAATGAAAGCAGTGGAAAAAGCAGCAATGCGCAATCCTAAAAACCAACCTCAGACCAATCAACTTCAAAAAAAAAAAATCCTGTGTTAAACCTGAAAATATTCTGCCTTCAACTTGTAGTCCATAATTAACTGTGTAACAAGTATCAGAATAATGCACAACCATATCTGGACAAGTGGGTTTCCAGTCAGTTTGAAGTCAAGGCCACACAGAAATTAGGAGGTTTAGCATGGCGTAAACCTAGTTTTTCCTGTGAGGATAGAATGACACTTTATTCTGCAGTATATAGAAAAGGAATGAAAATGAGCTAAATAACTAGTATTCATCAAAAAGATGCACAATTCTTAGGTTTGCATGGTCATTTGTATTAAAAATACATCTGTGATGTCAAATCTTCATGCAACAGCAGAAACATGAGGCTACAGCTCTGTTTTCATCTGTGTGAGTTTTACAAGGATGTAACTCCACTGAATAAATCCCTCGGGATTTCTGCCAGTGTGCAATGAAGATGCATCTCGGGTAACCTAAGCATTGGGTCTCCTGTGCTTAGTCTAGCTTAGCTTAAACATCAAGATAACGACCAAGGCTTTGATATTTTAGGAGAGCTTAGAGATTGGTCTGATAAATCGGTTTTATGCCTGTAAAAGTACAAAGTGCAATCCGGAGAAAATTATGTCGGAGGGAGAAGGAGGAGAAGCTTTTAATCTCCCATTTGCATGTATGCCTAAGCATCTGTTCTTTCTACAAATGTGTTTTTCTACCCATGTAATTACAGGACTCCTTCCCCGGTCTTGTAATAAGAAAGTACCTCCAGGTATTTAAGGCCAGGGTAATGATGAGTTATTATTCCCATTTTCATACATGGTGAAAAGAAGCACAGAAAGTCAAATGACTCGTACCATAGGTTACCGGGAGGACTATGACCGAGAAATGATATCACCCAGGTATTCCCAGTGCCAACAACGTAAGTACTCACACATCATTTGGAGTTACTTACACAGTTGCCCTGGTATAAACAGACACAGTCACTGCTGCTACAGCACAATTTGCACTGTTAAAAGCCGCTCTTGCAGTAGGTGAGTTAAAGCCTCAGTTGCAGTAGTAGGTCTGTTTTACAACATTCCCACTGGAATAGCTATTGAGAAGGAGTAAGAAGACTACAAAGTTAAATCAATATACATTTCAAAGAATTAATTAGGTTATTGTTAAATGCTAGAAAGGACAGGGGATGTATTATAGTTCCTCTGCAAATCATACCTTCAGCTGGGAGTATAAGAAAAGGCGATTATTTGTACTATTAAAGTCATGGTGACATTCCAAGCCTATGAATCTGTGTACTACAGTGTTGTTATTGCCTTCAGGTCCTCCCTACAAAGAGCTGCAATCAAAGACTTAGACTCTCTAACCCTTAGTTCCTATCTTCAAAGGCTTTGCTAATGGGTGTCCTGACTAGCACTATGGCTTATAGGTCATGGGTTTTTTTCCTCCTAGATTTCTGCGAGGACAGCATGGGCGTCCTCCACATCAAATGCATTCCTGCTCCGCATAGTCCCAGAAAGCGACAGCAGTAAAACTAAACCTGAACTGCCTCACCTCCCTGCTGCCCATACCATTTCTTGAGACCTCATAAATAGCTGGCATGCAGTTGATTGAAGAAGCTCAGGGTTTCCCAAATGAGCAAGAGAAGAACCTTTGATTTGCCTTCTGGTTGCACAGGGCGGTTGCTGAACAGACTGTTCAATGAAGCGGCCCCAGCACCACCAACACAACAGCCAAAGGTGTTGTCCCTCCTCCCAAAACCTTCCTGGGTGGCAACTCCCCTTGCCTGAGGGTAGGGAGGCTGAAGAATGGCCTGTGAGTATTGCTGGAGTCACTGGAATAAAAAGCATAGGAAGGCCAACAGTCCTCCTTCCCAAAAATAAAACACACAACAGCTCGGGGGAAAGGAAATAGGAGGGAACATCCACCAGACATCACCCACCTCTACGGAAGGCAATGAAATGCACATCCAGTTTTCTGTTATGTTCTGGTTTGGTTTGGGGCTTTTTTGTTTGTTTTAGGGTTTTGTTTTGTTTTCTATGAATTTAGATGCCAATTCTTTAGGCCCTGGAAAGGGAAATTCCTGATCCATTTTGGAAGTAATTAATATAGCAAATCGCTACCTACAAAGCCTAAAACAGGTGTTTTAGAAGCTCACACATGTATGAGTTGTTCAGAAACATATTGTTCATAAATCTTCTTGAAATACCAGAGCAGCTTTAGGTGAATTGAGAATACAATCCACAGTATTTGTTTTGAAGGGCTCTTCAGTAGGAAATAGCATTTATCACCATTCTTTCCCTTGAAGAAAAAAAAAAAACGGGGAGCATTTTTACAGCTTGCAAGCACTGAAAGAATAAAACAACAAAAAATCAACAAATTTTACAAAAGTAAAATTAGAAAACCACCCACTTCACAAAATCTGTTTTGACAAGTGTGCTTGAGTTCACTTTATCATTCCTGCACTTATAGTACTGGATATACACGAATAAAAGGATTATAATAATTTAAGGAAGGGATCATGAAATTTTACAGTTTTAGCAGATTTCAACAAGAAAAACTTGTTCCAAAATTAAAACCAGGATTTGTCAGCAGAAACAGTCCAAAAAATGATTACTTTAAGCTGTTTTAGCGATGTACTCAGGCAACAGAAACATTACCATGTGGCAAATCATCGTACATCATCATAAACAAGATAAAATTAATCAGGATAAACAAGTCAGGAGCACCCATTAGACTAATGCTTATAAAACTGAATATGCCAGAAGAAATAGATGGACAATTCTTTGAAACAAAAAACTATGATTTTTTTTTTTTAAATGGGTAGTAGTTTCACAGTCTCTAGTTTCATAGAACACCTGAGCGTTTTGGAGATGATTCAAATTGTGTTTAAAAAAATGCTTGCGTGTGTAACACCCTGGGGTTAAGATTTCATTAGGGTCAGACACACTGGGAGAGTGTCATTTCTCTGTGTTTTCAGGCAGCAAGCACAATGAACAGTACTTGCAAACTGGATGAGTATGTTTGGTTTCTTTTGAGTTCCTCCTAAGCTATCATTACAGCAGGCAAATGAAAGAAGAGAAGGTTTCGATTTGATTACTTGATCTTTGTGTTAGCCTTCCCTGACTAGCCTTAAGAAGGGGGAGACAAAAAAAAAACCACCCTAGGATAATATGAAATGCACCCTTATTTACATGTAAGATTACGTCTCTTACGAAACGAGGAATTAAGCAGACCACAGATTACATGCAAACCACAGCAGCCATGTAACCATATGCTGTCTGCATCCTAGCCAGCTCTCCTTGACAAATAATGACAACAGAAAGCTGAATTTTGATCTGTACCGCAAAGGTACTCCTCAACCTATCATTTTTTTCACACCGAGTTTAAAAAGAAGGCTAAAATGGTTTGCAGAATTAATATAGATACATATGGATGATGCTAATATACTGGGAAAGACCGTATAATGAATCATGGTAACAGAGATGTGCTGTGCCTTTCAAAGGACTTAGATGTTGAAGTCAAACCCGAGAACTAATAAATCAGTATACCAAACCGCCAGCCTTTTGCTGGCGTTTGCATCACATTTATTATTGTGTTAGTTAAATTAAGAGCTTACCAGGACCTGGAGGAGTTCCTGCCTCACACGGGTCTGAGGCACAGACCATGTGAAGCCAACAGTGATACACATCATCTCGCAGGGTTGGGAACAACAGGAATAATCCCCGTGAAGTTTGGGTTTAAATGTTTCTGTTTCCTTTTTTTTCTCTCCCAGCATCGCCCCTGCCCCCAGAATGTACGAAGCGTTTCTGAAGTAACAACTTCAAAGCAGCCATGCTTAACAACTTTGGGGTAAGAACCTGAGCATTAAGAGTGGGAAGGACTAGTCTTTGCAGCTACATTCAAAGCAGCGCAGGGAAGTAAAGCTGCTTCTGAGATGGTTTTCTATTAGAAGTGGGCAAAAACTGCCCTGGTCCCTCGTTGATACCCAAGTACCTCTTGGATTACTCTCATTACAGGTTGCTACCACTTGTTCCTGCTAGTCTACCAGTAGGAAACAGCAGTGTACCAGGAGGTCCCAGGCACCCCTCCTCTCCTCCTCAGGATGACAGCAGCAGGCAGATGCATGGAGCCAGGCAGAGTGACACATCAACTCCACCAGCTCCGTGCCAGGTAACGTCTTCTCAGAACTGGCCTGCATCATCCCTGTCTCAGACAGCAAGCATAACAAAAGCCTGCAAACCTGTCCTTTAACATTCAGTAGGAAACACTTCTGGTTTTCAGCTGGTTTGCGTTTTTTTCATGACAGCAATTCCATCAAGCAATGAAAGCAGTGGAAAAGCAAGTATGTGGAAACAACATACACGGAATTAAAACACTGTATACCTTCCCCACCTCCAAAATGATGAAAAAAATACAAGCACACAAAGCAACAACATTCAAAACTACTGCTTATCTTCTTACTATCAACATCCCAACCCATCTAATTCATTTGTACTGCTTATCTGGTGTCTCACCTCTACCTAACTGGAATGTTGCAATCATCCTGAATTTACTTCCAAAGACAACTTATCAGATCACTCAGTCACGCCATCTGATGCTACTTGCGGAGAACCACATGACTTGAAAAAACAAAACCAATCACATTTGGAAGATGGATAAAGAAAACAGGAAGAGTTCTTCGATGGTCAGTCAAAAAGAGCAAATCCAAGTACAGTACAGACTGCTATGGAGCTACTTCTTTAACATAAAAACATTATGTTAATGAATTAATGGATTATGAAGGGAGCTTGTACAAAATACTGTTTGGATTTAAACAAATGAGGATGTCTCAGGACTCTTAGAAATACAAGGCAAAAGAAAAAGCAAACAGACACATGTGGAAGGACAGATCTGAACATTTCCCTTTTGCTGGTCACTGGCAATTTCAGTTTTATAGTCTTAAAACCGAAGGAACTTTTGGCATATCTGAGAGCAGCAATACTTTTTGAAGAATTGAAGTTTGCCTGTTTATGCTATTCTCTGAACCTCTGGGGACCCTTCAGCCTTCACTGGAGTAAAACATGATACCCAGTAGATACACAATTGGAATCCCACCGGACAGCTGTAGTAGCTGTACAATACGCCGTGAATGTAAGGTTTCACAAGAAGGCTTGAGCTGGATTAACAGCTTGCCACGGCCTCCTTCCTCCTATCCACCCATGCTCATCACCTGCCCTCAGCCGGCTCGCTCGTCATCTGATCAGAGCGTAGCAGGTTTGAATCACTAAAAGAGCAGAAAACCCACCTTCTAAAAAAAATAACCATCTTTGTTCCTGGGTTACATGAGTTTCACAAGGTCATCTTGTGGATAAACGAGCAGGACTGGCACAGAGGAGGAGGGGGAAGCACATGTTTAGAGGGGAGCTTAGGGAGGAGAGGGAGCAGAGAGCCCCTCCTCGCCTCTTGACAGTGGCAAGCTGTTCACATGGCTCAACCAGAACAAGAAGCCACCTTCACAGACAGGTCACTTGTGAACTTTGCTCTCATATTACAAAACTACCGTATTTTTTTATATTATGGTCATCAAAAAACTGCTAATGTTCTTTCTAATTCACAATACGCTAGCATTTCAGTCCAACTATGCGTTTATATGGGGAAAATAACCACATGAGCTTAAAGGGTGATGGAGAAACAGAGGATGAAAACTCTGCAAAAGGCCCAGACAAGATGTTTCCATGTAAAGAAGCAGGGAGGGTGCAGCTGCTGCTGCTGCTGCTTCACAAAATGAGAGCATGGGTTTATTTGGGGATCGTTTTTCTTGGGAGTCACCTAGGGGAAATTAAATAAGAACTAGCCTAAGAGCTCTCCTCAGCGGACAGAACTCTGAGGCTAATGCAGAATATGTCCAACCTCAGTGATGGAGTCTCTGGGCCTAAGCATCCTGGGAAGCTGGTGTACAATGAGGGAAGAATTAATTTACTTTCTGGCTGGTAGTCACGAACTCTCTCTGATGTTGCTATCTCTGAAGGAGAACATGTTCATGCAGTTATTGCACATCCTAACTGATGGCCCACCAGGAGGAAACTTTAAATTTGAGAGTAGATAGCTGATGAAGGATCAGCTATCGAATCCTCTGTATCAGCTATGACCAGAACACCCTAGCAACTTATTTGCTAACCAGGAAAGAAGGAAGGTTTAGCCTCTTTTGAGTGAACGTCTTCGATTTCACGACTTACAAAGCATTTACTGTAAAGAGACTCAGTAGAACTGACAATTCCTTTCTAGATTATTATTCATAGGTGTATTTAATTAAATCTAGAAAGGTAGATGAGTTCAAAACTGGTTTTTGGATCCTCATGAGAAATGAAGTATTGCAAAAGATGGTCTAGCAAAAAAGTGAGTGTAGCGACACAAAGGTCAGAATAATAAATGAGTAAATCAGACTTGAAGGTGACCCTATATTCTGCACTCCTTTTTAGAATTTGGAATAGCTCTGGGCCACCTTATTTTGGTTATTTACTTAAAACAGAATTCCAGCGGTGTATTTCAGGTGAAATACAGTTTCCTATACCTAGGCATTCTTTTGTGTCAAGGGTAATGTAGGTATTAATAAGTAATTTATCTTAATTTTTATTTTCACTGACCATATCTTGGAAGAATCCCTTCAAGTTTCTTTCTTAAATGGGAATTCAACAAACAGATGGAACAAATTTCACAATAAGCACAATAACCACGTCAGGTGTTGTTGCACCTTTTACCTGACAAGTCAAAACTGTAAGACATGCTAAGTGGCCGCATTGCTGTAAAAAAGAAACAAAAACAACAAAAAGAAAACAATTCAGCTATTAGAAAAGCAGAGGCATAATCAAAAAAAAAAATTAAATCTACTTGAGACATTTTGGATTCTGTTGCCTAAATCCAAAATGTGTCAGACATACTATTGCTTTACTGTAGTAAAGCTCAGAGTCTGCAAACTACAGCAGCATAAATGGGACTTGCAAACAGAGCAATTATAAACATATTCGTATTGTTGGAGAATGAGATTTTTGGAATTCAGTAATTCAAATATCAAAATGAGGCAAATATCTTAAAAATGGAATATTTTCAATTAAAATGCCGTGAAAGAGAGAAAGGGGAGAGGGAAGAGAGAGGCGAGAAGGAAGTGAAAAAAACTGTAAGTACAAAGCCACATTTCACACAGCTTTCAGTGACCTGAAATAAAGATATTTCTAATTTTTTTAAGCATAATCTCCAATGATTATAATTAAACTAATAAAGAGAGACACTCAAGCTTAGCTTGAGCAGTAGTTTCCTTGAAGAGGATGGAAAAAAAAGGCCAAACACCGTGTGATTTGTGCTGATTCTTGTTCTTTTTAAAAACCTTAGGTGAACCTGGCCTTTAAAATGTATCCATAATATTATCCTCTTCTTTCAGGGCCTCTAAGGATTTTATTTCTAAGATTTTTATTTTATTTCTAATTATTTTTATTTCTTAGCTATTTTCATAGCTAAGAAAGTGGTCAAATGTTCTGTATTTCTGTAAAGAACTATCTACATTTCAAATTAAACAGTGTAATTCAGGGAGCAGACACTCAAACTATTTCTCAACTGAAAATAAAATTTCAAGGCACTTAATCTAAAAGCAGCAGGCCAAGCCCAGTGAAAAGAATGTACAAGAACACATGAAAACTGACATCAGCTTACCTGTCCCACTTGACAGGTGACAAACAAGTCGGTATGAAAGGGCCTGCCAGCCACCCACACCGCTGCGCTAAAAGATTAAACCTTTAAAAAAAGGTTGTGCTGGGACAAGTTTTGCTCATGAGAATAAATCTATGTGGTGAACGCAGGAGATGGCTGAGTCAGAGCCAAATGTGGGAGTGAGGGTATTTTTCCTGTAGTCCATTAACTAGACACAACAGCCACAGGCAACAGCTACAGAAACAGTAGCTAAATCCCTGTCCAAACTCAGCATAAAGGAAAACACATTTTAAAGCATAAGAAGGGTGTTTATCACCTAATGCTGAGGCCTAACTGAAGGTTGATAAAACATGTACGTGAAACAAAGTTTTCTCCAAGCTCCATCAGCTCATCATTCTTGTGTCACAAATCCACGCTTTTAATTAAAAGGACATGTACCTTGAGGCTGTGCTTGTCTCGATAGCTTACTGTGATAATTGTACGAGGTCATCTGGAAGCTCACTCTGATTCCTTCACTTAAGCCCCTCTGAGAGCAGCTACCCCTTCCATAGAAGCGTTAGATGGAGAGCAGCCAGCCACAGGCTGGTGTTGTCGGGGGCTGCTCAGGGCAGAGAAGGCCTTACCTGTGCGCACGGGCTGCGCAGAGCAGAAGGACAAAGCCTGTGGCTGCTGGGAAACACATGCCATACGGTCCACCCGTATAGCAGAGGAGGAACTACAAGAGCACAGCTCCCCTAATCTCAGTAGTCAGGTGTAGTTGTGCTCCTGACTGCAATAAACTGAGTAACAAGGAATAACTCTGGGACATGTGCAATGTACCTCATACTCCCAAATATTTCACTTCAATACTCTTTTTTTTAATAATTCTTTTAAAGAGCAACAAACATTTCTGTCCAGATGATTCAAGCATTCCACATGGTGTTTCTGCCTAGATTTATAATCCTTAAACCTCATTACTTTACACGTTGTTACCCTGAATCATATTCAGTGGTCATCTAAACTGTATGGCAGAACTATTTGTACCATACTGATTGTCATTAGCATTACTCCATTACCAATTCAGCACAAACACGTTTTATTCTAAAAGGAACTTTGGACATAACAGTTGTTTTGATGTGAAAAGGCACAAAACATCATATTTCAAAGTAAGAAAAAATTAGTTTCAAGGCCTTTGCTCTTTTTCCTTCTTCATGCCAGCAGCAAATAAACACTTGGGAAATAAAAACTGCCCACATCCCCTTTCACACCTACAATAATCTGGCATTTAATCCAAACAATTCAGTACACTGAAGGGGAACTACCACAGTTCCAAAACTCAAAAATTTAGTTCCTTAACAAACAATGAAGAATTGGCAGAAGACAGGTATCCCTCATTGGAGGCCATGCCCTGAAAGCAGCCCAAAAAGTCCTAACCAGTAATACTCCAAAATTTAACATAGTTTTTAGAAACTGTTTACTAAATGTGTTTGATGTCATTTGTATCAGTTCAAAGTTTTAAAGATCTATTAGACCAAACTTGCTGCCCCTGAAAGGACATGATAGCTCCCAGATGGAGAGCATTTAAAATACTTAAACTGAACGTTTGAAAGAAAAGTAAGGAATTGTTCAGTGTTTTTACAAGCTTTCTACATTTGGAGAAAGGTCTGGGCCTATTAGAGACATTGATAAAGAAGGCATAAACTGAATCCAAACCAGAAACTGGAAGAAAAGAAACAATATTCAAAACATCGTGCTTTTAAAAATGCACCCAAAGCATTCACCAAACTCTACCGAGCTCTTCAGAACAATGCAACAAAGCAAGACTGATGAAATTGTTTTTCTCCAGAGACAATGGGTTGTCACAACCACCGGACCAGTGCCTTTAAGCACATGTGGCAAGCACAAATATTTTGCAAAAAGCAGCCACAGGGAGTACATACATAGATTACTGCATGCTCTTCAGCCATAAGATGCCACTTTTGCTCTTAAAAATCCGGCTAGCTCATCTTTTTCTGTAATTCCATGCTCTTAAAGAAATGTTAAGTCACAATGTAAGACTATGTTTGTCATGCTTTTGTCATCAGAACCATTGAACTAATGCAAATTGGTGACCATTGGAAAGCACAGTATTTGTATTATTTCATAGTGGGTTGTTGAATATGCACTGCAGAAATGAAATGCTTGGCGCTGCAAGCCTGAATTATTTGCCCATTGAAAATATATACAAACACGTGTTCTGTAACTTAGAAAATGAAGCAAAGTTTTAGATTCAAAATAAAAGCAATAGATTCAGCAAACAAAATAAAGGCAGCTTTTAAAATAGAATAAGGAAGTTGATGATGCTAACAGCAGGAAACAAAGGTAATGAAATTAATTAAAAACAGACATGTAAAGAATACTTGCAGATAGGCAAAGAACGTTGCACTGGGGTAAAGCAATACCCATTCCCTTCTGAGCAAAGCTAACATTGACTGTCATGTGCAACCAGCAATATAATGCCATGAAATTTATCTAATACTTACATTCAAAACTTGAAGGGAATCAAGCTGAACCATACAGTACCTCATTTTTAAATATGACTTAGCACAAAGATTGCATAGCCCTAGCAAAGCCTGTAGGTTCCTTCTTTTTCTGAAGGGATGAGAATAATTTCATCTTCTGTGACATCTGCACAGACATCACTAATATCGCTTTCTTACGTGGGAAGCTTTCTGTGGATGCTGCAGGTCAAAACAAGCACTGTGCTTACCCAGCCTGCTACGCCTTATCTCATCAGGTGAGACGGGACGTAACTTCCTCTCTGCCTTGATTTCCTCCAGTATCCTCTCGTGAAGGCTGCGTGGCCGTGGTGGGGTTGGTTTCAGTTTTCTTGCTGAGGCCTCGGGATATAAAGAGAAACATATTTACATAAAACAGTGCTTCCTTGAATGTAGATTTCACACTTTTTTGACAAAAAATGTGGAATGTTTGAATATGATTTTACATGCACACAATTGTAAAACTCATAAAATAGAGAGAGGATTTTTCCCCAATTCATCATGATTTCCCAGAGATAAAGGGCTGCTGGCAATAACAGCTATTAATTGGTAGGTGCAAGATATTACACACTGTTCTTTTAGGAGATCGTGTTCTACATACAGAAGACAACATTTTTGAATGCCCATGTCAGAAAATGTAATATTTGACATATTCCCTGGACACAAACGTGCTTTGAAGAGCCACATTTTTTGTTAGGAATGAAGCCCACTGGATTACATACAGGATTTAATGGAGGTCGTGATCGGATGAAATCCAGGATTATTTCATGGGCACTCTTTTTTAATCGAGGTGGAATGTCACCGTTGACCTGGAAAGGAGAAAAAGTGAAATGCATATTTCCATGGTTTGCATTCATATTCATACAGATGATGAGATCAATCGAAAACTCACAGCCACCCTGACAGAGCTTGCAGCGTCCTGACACCTGCACCAGACGTAAAACCCTACCGGCCCTGAGGAGAGCAACAACCCATTTGCAGAGCACAGGCAAGCAGGAACGCACCTAACAGCTTTCCTGCTTTGCGGAGAGCTGCAAAATAACCACAGCTACAGCAGCTTTCATCAGCAATACTTAGGATTTTGAAATGATGAAGTCAAATGTTAAGGCTGCAATCAGTCTGTGAAAGAATGCAGATAAAGATTGTATCTTGCTCGGAGGAAAAGTTGCCAACACCATTTTTAAGAACAACTGTTTGAACCATGTCGCACTGCCAAACATTACACTCTGTTCTCAGCCTCTGAGAAAACAAGGATGCTCTTTAAGGCCCCGGTTTTCTTATTCTCCTTACCATCTCCCAAGCACTGATATGAACGCAAAGCTAGATATGGCACAGTCACCAATGATTTACGTGTAGCAATGGATGAAAAATATGTCCCCCTTGGTTTTTTGTCTTTACCACCTGTGTCTGCTGCTCTGGGCATGAAGAGGTGCCCTTGTGGGTAAATTCCAGCAGAAGAGGGAAGCCCTGAGCACGATCTCATAGCTGCTTCTTCACCTGCACTTCAAAGATTACTCAAGTACTAAACAAAGTTTGTTAATATGGCTAGAAAGTAAATCACTAGGATGCCATGCGATGCCATCGAAAGTACAGGAAGCACATTGCCTCACTGTAAATCCTGTATTTCTGTAGAAGAGGGGCTGGGTGAGGGTTGTCTGCTTGTCTTTCTTCAGAGACAGACAGTTCTTTCTCTGATACCTCTCTTACCTTGACCTAAGACAAGACATCACAGGAAAGAGTCAGCAATTCACTCTATACAGGATATCAAAGAAGGCAGTGTAAAGTTTCCTATCGTATGAAGAATTTATAAATTCTAAGCTGGGAATAAGTGTATGGATTTGTTTAAAAAAATCCACCTGTCAGGTTCAGTGTCCATAAAGCACTGTGCCCAAGCACACTGTCAGGGATGAGAGAGCACCCCAGGCCATACATCCCCCTGGTACCTTCTGTTACTACACAGCAGGTGGCTATCAGCTCTGTCAGCCAATTTGACAGACATTCCCATGGCACTGCATTTCTTAGACCAAGTGTCCCAAATTTCAGCACTTTTTTTATTTCCTTTTAAAAGGTCAGTTGGCTCATTTTCTTTGGGAGACTCTATTCATACTCTATTTTGGCTCTCTGGAGCCAGAAAATATATGTAAAGGCACAACTCTGGTTTGTCAAATCACACACACTTTTGCTAACCAGAGGGAATGCTGCAGTCATAAAACTGGGTTTAAAAGGCCATAAGGTCACATGAATATGATCCCTAACTGAACTTCACTAATGACATGCAGGGTCTGTACAAGCTCTGCTCACCTCAGACATGTCCCGTTTCCAGGCTGAGGCAGAGCAACAGCCTCCAGGGAAGATTCATCTCTTCCCCAATAAGGAATTGCACGCAGAGTCTCCCCTGGGGAACATTTCATTGCTTACCTGGGGACTCTTTCTGGAGGTATCCTACCCCAGACATGGTCCAAATTCCCCCCTGCACCTATCCCTTTAGCTTCCTTAGAGTGAATTTCATGTGGCTTGGTGGAGAATACCAAGCTGCTAAACTGCAATGTTCAACACTTTCCTAAAAATAGGGCAGAAAAATTAAAATGGAAAAGGTTTATATTGAACAGTGATTTGACATTTTATGATGAGGAGAGTATTATTTTATGTGGTGTGATTGATTTCTTCTGTTTAAGGACTGAGCAATTTTCTGAGGCCAGCATGCTTTGCAGGTTGTTAATGAAATGAGAAGTCTCTCTTTCCCCAGTTACTGCTCATCAGATGTCAAAGTTGATGGCTGAAGCTGAGAGTTATTACCATCAGAAGAGCCATTTTGTAAACTGATAATCTCCGTTCTAGCCTTTGGGAACAACCCTCTGCATGACAATGGGAAATAAATAATCCATGGCTCTGAGCCTTTCACTTCAGGGCACTCTACACCCTGACTTAATGCCACCAGGGTATAATTAGTATCAGTATTCCCATTTGATTGGAAAAGGAGAAATGTAAGATTTGCTTAAGTGATTTTCCATAGGATACACGGGGAGATGGTGGAAAAGCAAGTGGATGTTTCACCGCCAACAAGCCAAGAGCAGGAGCAGCGGTGGCAGAGCCTACCTTCCTTCTCACGCTCAGCACCCAAACAGGATACTGGTAAGAAAGAATTGCAGGGAAGCTTTTATCCTCTCTGTCCATGCTAGATCTATTTCTTTACTCCAACTAACTCTCTGTAATGAGCAATTTCCCATGCATCTTTTAATTAATTAAAATTCATGACTGTTGATTGAAGGCCAAATCAGAGATCACAGATGCAGCCAGGATACATGCAGGGAAAGGATCTTTTTTTTTTTTCCCCTCATGTACCAGATTGGCCCCAGCTGCAAACCAGTATTTAAATACATACCTCAAAACACTGTAAAACTATGCTTAGTCTTCATGTGTGTAAAACAGCTTTTGGACAGCAGTATGCATTACAACTGGCAGTGTGGGGAAAGCACAACCCATGACTGTAAAAACCAATCAGAAATTTAGAGATCTAAACAAGCTCAAGCACAGAAAAACTACCATGCAATCATCTACTCACTCACGACCTGCTACCATCACGTATAAAAAGGGATTTGCAGTTTAAAAAATAACTGGTACTTGGTAACCTTTGGCTGAAGCCTGAGCTTTAGAAATGGTGATCCCAAACAAGAAGTAATACATCAGTTATCACTGACATTCAATTATCTCAGCCACTAATTTGTCTCACTATAAAAGGTGACAGCATTAAGTAGAAGAGTGCTATCTCTAAATGATAGGCAACATGAAACGGATACTGGTTTGTACTATGTAGAAATTTTCATTTAAAAATGAAAATTGCATGGACACTGAAACAGAGGGGGCATGCTACATCATTTCCAGAACAGCTCATGATAAAGTTCTGCTGTGAATTAAAGTATTACAAGTAGATATGTATTTGCCATCTTTCACTATGCAGACAGCGTAGCGCTTCCGTTAACAGGGTTGGTGCAGAGCGGATATTTGACACCACACAGCAAGCTCAAGCAGCAGTGTCCAAGAATGAAGTGCTTTGGTACTTCATGTGGTAAGCCACTGTACTCACCTGCTGTTCCTGCACACCTCTTAGAGATGCAAGTTTATGATTCCACGTGATAACCATAGTACCTACACAGACTCGTTCCTTCTTTAAACACCTCTAAAGCATGATTAGGAACTGTAAAGCTCACTGCTCTACCTAGGATAATTCCTACACTTCTGCAGGAACACATGATGAAGGCAGAAAACGAAGACAGCTTTAAACAGGACAGTTCCTTGCTTAAAGCAGGTGAGTAATCCTCACTAAAACTAAGCCAGACCTGTGCAGAAGAGAAGGACAGACTCTACAAAGCCCAGCTGGACAGACTGGTCAGCCTTTTCCTGCTATGTCCAGCTTGAAACATCTGAAATCTCGCTTATGAAATACAATCTGTGCACAGCTACTGTCACAACTGATGTGAACACTCTAAGATGCTAATTACTGTAAAGAAATAAGTATTATTGGGAGAGGACTTTTTACAAGAGCCTGTAGTGATAGGACAAGGGGTAACGGGTACAAATTGAAAACAGGGAGGTTTAGATTAGATATCAGGAAGAAATTCTTCACAGAGAGGGTGGTGAAGCACAGGAACAGGTTGCCCAGAGAAGCTGTGGATGGCCCATCCCTGGAAGTGTTCAAGGCCAGGCTGGATGAGGCTTTGAGCAACCTGGTCTAGTGGAAGGTGTCCCTGCCCATGGCAGGGGGGGTGGAACTAGATGATCTTTAAGGTCCCTTCCGACCCTAACCATTCTGTGATTCTATGATTATTTTGTTAAAAATACCCAAACAACCACGCCACAGGATTCTCAGATTAGACATTCAAATTACTGGATATTTTTGATAATAATAGCTTCAACCTATATGTCTAAATTCCCCTTTTGCAACATGGCCAAGCTAATACCCCTGCATCACAGGTATTTGTGAAGAGCTCGACTATGAAGACAAGAGCACCATTACCTACGAAGATTTTAACTGTTCTGCAATGTAATGCTGAGTTTGGACACTACATAAAAGGTGTCTCACAGCCATGCATTGAATAAGTCAGGCAAGAGCTGTCAGTTACGGTTCAATAAACGCTGCTCAAGAAATGTCGCGAGGGGTGCATATCTTGGAGGGGAGGTGGTGGGCAGGAAAAAGAGCTAGTTGGGAATCAATACGGAATGAAAAGCTGTAGCTTAACACACATGCGTAGTAAAGAAAAGCTAAGCCTGGAAGAGTAACTTAATTCTTAAATTTCCCTGTTTCCAAGTGTTGACTCAACCGACATTCATAATTTTTCACTTTGTGGGAATGAGTGCTGCATAGGAGAAAAACGCTATTAAATTTTTCCAGGTAGACATGAAAAGATTACAAAATGCCAAGGCAAAAACCTGTTCCCACAACAACCATACAAACAAGGACTCTTGCATCGGAGGGATAGAGAGATGCCAAATCTGAAATTATTTTCATATGTACTGAAATAGAAATGCCGTCACTGAAAAGAATGAAACCAGTTATTTATAAAAAGCCCAGAATTTGACATTTTACATCTTCAAAACATTTTGAACATTTGCACTATGAGAGAAGAGAGAACAGACAGCTCCAGTTATTGACATCTGTAAACACTTTTGGTAGTCTGAAACAACAAAACTAAGTAATGCAACTAATAGGAACATCTGTTCCTTTCCCAATTTCTGCTCAGAGTACTGAGCAGTCAGGGACAGATCGAGCTACTCTTTTAAACACAGCATTATATTAATAAAAAGAACAGTAAAGACTTCATGTTGCATCTCACTTACTTTAAAAATGTACTTAACCTCTTGTTATCATTAGTAGCATATGCATTTTCACAAGCTATGAAGTCTAAAAATACTACCTGTAAATTCAAAGCAAAAATTGCTTTTAAGAAAAACTTTGCCAAACAGCCATTTTGACTGATAGAAAGAAAGATAATCCATCTTTATGAGGCTGCCAAAAATTTAGATTTAGGATTCTTGCCCTTTCCTCCTCAAGAACGATGACAGTTTTCTCTGATGGGAATACATTTAACCAGCTTTGACCCATGATGGTCAGCCAAAAGATGCTGTATTTATGAGATCTAACTAAACTTGTAATTCTACGTGAATCCTTCAAGCCCCACACATTTCGTGTCAAGATGCACACTTATTATTGTGCATATTTTGCACAATCGTCAAGCAGACCCTGCAGCAGAATCCAAGTTACTGAATTGAAGGTTTCTAATAAGAAAGAAGTTTTTTTTTTAACACAACGTCATTAGCAGTTGTCACACTAAGCCAGCAGTTGCATCACAGACAGCTCTACAGGCACTGTACCTGAAGTTGATTGTAATCTCAATTCATGTTTATGCCCAGAGGTCACTTTGGACAATCTACCTAGTAGACAACATAGCAGGACAAAAATAGACGCTTGCAGGGATTTCTTACACAGCAAGAGTCTGGATGAGCAGAGGAGCAGCTGTGCCTCCAAGTCCTACTACATAATGAAGAAAATCCCTTTTGAAGAGGCAGGAGCTTGCTCAGCAGTAGATGAATTCCAGGCTAGCCTGGCAAAAGCCAAATTAGTTGACCCAGGGGTTCCCATTCAAACAAAGCTACTATCCTGATTGCATACAGTAATCAAGGTCCTAAGGGGACCGTTCCTCTTTTGCAGTGGGTAGTATGAACACTTAGCACTGTTTTCTGAACTGCTAGCAGGGAGACAGATAACACCATTACCTGGGTATGTGTTTTACCCTATTGATGTAACATTTCAGCAACATATGCTGCAGAAAATAAATACGATCTGATAGTCTAAATCCAGATCTTGATTAGGAAAGTACTTTCAGCTCATACATAAAGGGCATTTGTATGGACAGGACTAATTTATTTGCTCCCCATGTAGTTGCTCCATTTTTTCCCTCCTTTATTCTTTTTTCTAACAATCTCTGATAGAACAAACTACATGCTTTCAGTCTCTCCAGTCTCCCCCCACCCCCATCTCTGAATTTTTCTAGTGGAATTACAGCTTTCTCACTAACAAAGGTTTTGTCAGGAAAGCAAATATATTTGAACACTGAATTTAAAAAAAAAAAAAAAAGAGAAGAAAAGAAAAGAAGAAAATACAAAAGAAAAATAACATTTCAGATTTGACCAATTCTAGTGATCCCCTTGGCTTACCATCACCTTCCTTAAGGTATAGCGTTTGGATCTGATATCATCCATCAGCATTTCATAGGGTGTGAGCTGATATTCTATTGGGAGTGGGTTGTACTGACGCTCTTGAACTTTCTTAAGTTTAACACCATTCCGCAAATCTCGCATCACTTGTACCCAAAAACGAGCCTGGAGGGAAAAACCAGAGAAATTTTATTTGATACCTTACCCTTGACTACCACCTCACATTAAACCAAAGTTGTTCACTCCCCTTTCAGGACACCATCAAATACGCACAGCTGTACTACTTCATTTTTAACACCTCAACCAAAACCCATTTTGTCTGTGGTTATTTGATATAAGCCTATTTTAAACCCTCATGACCGTAACAAAACTTCGTTGCAACTCAGCAGGACTGCAGAGTCTCACCCCAAGGGGTATTCATCTCTAAGATAATGCAGAAAAAGGATTGAAATTCTCGACCATATATCTATATTTCCATTTCATGTAAATTGCAAGCACATCAGGAAAGTTTCTAGACTTACAGCTAATACTGTGTGAAGTAAAACAGTGATTGAATCCGAAACTTTGTTTCCCTTAGGCCCAGAACTTTCTTGCAAAATTTTCCAGCAGTTGCTCTTCAAATAGAAATTTTGGAATGGACTCCAAATCCTAAGGTCTAGCCATATCCTCTCAGTGCTCAATTTCCTTTTGCTCTGCCCCTAAGAGCACCACATACTAACACCTCTCTCTCATTTCTTGGGCAGTGAGAATGGCTGGAGAGGAGGAAGAAGAGGTGGTGGATAGAATATTGGGAGATTGAAATCAAGTACTTTTAAGAACCTCATAATATTCCTCTACGAACTGGCAAGAATAGTAACTAGAAAATAAACCAAGCTACTTCCTGTTAAGAGTTTCTCTGTAACATTTTTCTTTCACCACAGGAGAAACTCAGCTGGCGGCTCTGGCTACTGCCTGGCTGCCCCTCTGAAGGGCAGTCAGCATGATACCTGTCTAGATGTCCAGTCTTTTTAATTTGCAAAAGCTTCTCCATGAAAACAGTCTAAAGAAAAAATGCAATGTTTGGATACTTCTATTGTTTCATCTGTCTGCGAAGGAAGGTTGAAACTCCATTTGGTTGTAACTTGTTGTTACTATTAATTCATATGTTAAAAAAAAACACAAACCAAACCAAACCCAAAACCAAAAAACAACAAAACCAGACACTGATTTTAACATAAACCAAAAAAAGTTAGGTGAGCATTATAATGAAATATAAAAGACACGTAATGATGCTGAATCACTATTCAACTGTTGTCTTACCCAGTCAGCATTTTTTAAGTCATCAAGATCTGCGCTGGATTCATCACTTGCATCTTTGTCCATTTCTTGAATCTTTTTCAGATTCTGCCAATGAAAAGAAAATGAGTCAATAAATAGATGGTGACATTACTCTCAAGGAAAACTGAAGTTTAATTTTTGACATATGTCAAATTATGTTGCTTGGGTACTCTACTGAATGTCTGATGACTTGAACAGTAATACTGTAAAAGTAACTTGAAATACTATTTGAATATATTTTTCTTAATTGCAAAGTGGACCTTAAATGCTGGGGGGGGAGGGGGGGAGGGGGAAATCTTAAGTTTCGAGTATCAAAGTACCTCAGATAATAGTACACCAGAGGAAAAACTATACATACAAATTTTAATATTCCTAAAACTGGGCTGTACATAGGGGAAAAAACCCACCCACCCACCTATGAGGTCTGGTAAGCTACCACACAGAAAACATTACTGAATTTGTAAGGATCCCATTCATAGCAAAATGACCGTTACTTGTTGAATTCAAGACAGCTCATTTTTGTAGAAGAAGAAATTCCCAGAAAGTTAGTTGTGAGAAGGAATAAATGGTGAGAAATCCTTTACACTGAATAGTGACAGACTTGCATACATATTGAAATTAAGTAGTCTGTATAACAAGGTTATAGATTCTAAAATGAGTAATAAAATTATGTAAGAAAGAGAAACAGACCTTTCAAAGGTAAAAACTGCTATTTATGAAGATCAGATCATGCAAATATAGAAAAGATTGTCTGCAAAGGGAAAAAAAAGCTTTCATACTAACATGAATATGAAAAATGATTAAAAGTTACAGCAGACCAAAGAATAGGCAAGCTTGCACACAGACAAATGCAAGCAAAAGACTTAAAAGGCTGTGGCTTTACAGAAATTATGTTATACACATAAAAACCTGCATATTCAAAATGCTATTTTTTAGGTTACTTCTGTATTGAAATATTCTGGAATCAGCAGCACGAACAAATTTTCAGTACTCCAATTGTCAATACTCAAGCTCTTCCTTCAATGTAACTGAACAATCAGTCTCAGTTTAGCTTTTAGAATTCACAGAAAACTTGAAAATAAGCATATTTTGTAAAAAATATTTCCTGGAAATGGTTCCAAAGCTGCCAGCATCTCAGTGGAAGAAATGGAAGCACAGGAAGTGTGCTTAAATGGCACATTTAACAGAGTGCAACTACCTTCCAAACTTGGTTATAGAGTTAGCACGTGTGAGTCAGGAACCACAGAGGTTTTGGAAAGAGAGCAGATGGTTCACTTATTGTCTTGTGTGGGTTCTGTTGCTGCGGTCAACAGCCAGTCTGATACTTACAGGAAATCACCCTTTTCCATGGGAGAGATAAAAGAAAAATGGGAAGAAGGAGTAACATAAAGGCCTTGCTTATTTGTTGTCCAGGGTTTCTTCTTTCCTGTACCATACAGTTGCAGTAATAATTTCAAATACAGTATCTGTGAACTATAAATTATTTGCTTTCTTGCAAACTGCTAACGTGCATCGATAAACTGCAAAATATAAAATCATTCTGATACTTTCTTCTTTGTAATCAAAAAGCTAACCAGTAAATGAGCTCACAACTGTCAGATTTGCTCCTCCTTTCCACACTGCAAGGTACATATTAATTTTTAAAAAATTAACATGTTACAGCTGCTTAACCTTTACTTCGACTGTTCAACAAGATTTGCAGCAATTACCCATCTCTGTAACCGTGTTCCCTACCATACAATTTACCAGGCTGGTTTATGCCCCAAGGCTCATGCCTTTGACTGACACAAATATTCCATGAAGCTAAAAAGATTACAACCTGTTTTTCTTAACAGCAGAAAATAAAAACAAACAAACAAAAAAACCCAAACCCAAAACAACCACCCTGAACAGCTGAAAGATCTTTCAAATAAGGCAGCCATCTAATTAGTTTCTCTGGAACATAGCTTGAGGGGGAGTTTCCACCCAAGAAAGCACAGGTGTACGTGGTGCTGGCTACACCGAGTTGCAAGAGCAAAAAAACCTGCCAGCCAAAGCCTCTCTAAGTACAGTTCTATGATCCAAATGAGCTGATACAAGCACAGGCTCCTGCCAGAGCTGAGCTCCTACTCCTCTCCATCCCAGCCAAGTGTTCCAGCTGCATCCCTCACAGCGGCACTGACCCACACTTCGTAGGGGTAGCTCATTCCCCGCCCTGGCACCCAGCTCAGACCCCTAAATCCAGCTCACCATGCGATTAGTAGAGAACAGTAGAAAGAAAAGAAATTTCCATTGTTATAGAAGTTAGAAAGCTTTGGAGGAGTGGGGAGAAAAAGAAACAGCAAGTGCTCTATCTTTGCAGGCAGTGCTTTGGAAGGCGTCTTAACTCCTCTCCACCTGTCAGGTGCTGCTTAGGAAGGAATAAATTCACCGTGACAAATGATTACTTTTAAACTTCCAGACTAAATGAAATATTATCATTTCCCCCAGCAACCCCAGCCAGCATCAGTGGGTTCTGCATCTGTTTCAGTCGTAAATCATGGAAACCAACATGTTTACAATACAAGAGACCATTTGTCAGAAAATAACTGTGATCCAAAACCTGCGAGTAACCTCAGATGCTGCAGCCACTTGTACTTACCCTTGGGACAACAGCTTCAGAAAAGCTATTATAGGGTAATAAATATAGGGCCTAAATGGGTTTCCATTTCAGAAAGCAGAAACATCTTAAAACGGTTTTCCTAAACGATCCCAGAACCTCAGACCTATACCACAGACCTGATTCACCTACTACGGCCTGGGCATTCATTCAGGAAATAAGGGTTGGATGGGTAGGAAGCGAGTGTTTCAACAGCTTTGGCTTTTTTTAAACCATTACAGCCTTTGACCATTAAAAAAAAAAAAAATCAACCACACATTTTATGACAAAAGCTAGTAATAAAAATACCAAATGCCTTCCAACATCTTGCTGCACTATTAAAAGCAGGCAGCTGATTTGCTGCTGTGTGTCCCACATTTGAGATGCGCTCTCCCATGCTCAGTGACAGATGGGAGTTTATATAAGACGCTTGTCAGCACAGCATCCAAGACTCACTTCCATAAAATGCTCTCTCACACGCAGTGTTTTAATGAAGACGGTATTCTTGGGAATCCAAATCTGGACTTTGTCTTTCACAAACTGCAGACACAGTCTACGACAGTTTCCAGTTCATATCCTTAATTAGGCAACATTTGTTCGCTGATGCAACTAATTCTTATGCTGCTATCTGCCAAACTAATAAAATATTCTTGCACCTCTAGGCTCAATTTAAAAATATATAACCTGCACATAGGGGAAAAACTACTTTCAGATACTCAGCTATCCAACTTGGGTTTAAATTCCAAGGGCTTGGCCAGCATTACTCTAATTCTGTGGAAAGACCCAAACCCCATTTAATTCAAACACGGGAATAGGATCAGTTAAATCAGCCCCCGAAAACCTCTTTCTTGAGTGGATATCAAAGTTCTTCAGCTCTGGAAAGGGCAATAGTCACCATGCTGCTCAACATAACTGTTTCAAAAGAGGCAAAAAACCCCAAACCAAGTGGATGTAACACTTAGTGAGTGACAGTGCTTGCATCACTTAAGAAAAAAACCAAACACACACAGCCCCCTCCCACCCCCCTACAAACAAAAAGCCATGAAAACAAAACCAAAAAACCCAAAACAAACCAAAACCAAAACAGCAGCCTTTTCTCTTATTAAAACTCCCAAACTGAGGGATCAAACAAATCACTGTGGGGCTGCAAGCCTGAGGATCACACAGTTACAAAGGTGGAGTCAATGGAAGCCTGAAGGTGTAGGCAAAAGTGGTTACGAGCAGAAAAGTTTGTGAATCAATGTATTTCTCCAGCTGTGCTTCCTGAAAATCCAAGCAGCAAGGTATGTAACAGCTTTTATAGTCATGAGACTATCAAGAGTAACTTGGCTAATGACCGTATTTCCAAAAGAAGTTAGCCATTAACTTATCATTAAGTTAGATAACCATTAACCTTAACCTGATACCTTAACCATTTAGGTACCTATTAACTACCTCTATTATCATATTTTGTACAAATAATACACCAGTATAGCCCCGTCAAATGGAAAGTAACACCTGACTTTCTTAATTAACTGTTTTCAAACTGAATCTTTGCATGGCATGCAGCTAGGAAAAAAGGAAAGGAACAATTTCATTTCTACTCATGTACTTGGTTAGAATTCGGATATTTACATTTTCATACAGATCAGATTGAAATATATCCAGGCAGACTGAAAGAATTATGTTTTTACATCAAAAAGGACATAAATGAAAGCTGACATGATTCAAAATAACAGTGCAAAAATGACAGATTGAGACCTTTATCTGTATTCTACCAAAAACAATTACAAGGCATACCGTGGATAATGAAATGATGGAAAAGTTTTTGATAAGCATGGACTTTCACTGCAAAAGAAGATGCAGGAAATTATAAAAATATACACAATCTTAATTAGTTTGGAGGGAATATTAATCTTGATGCTTTAGGGCGTACATTGATCTCTAAAAATTTTTGAGATACAAGTCAAACCTACTGCAGCAGATAAAGACACACCTGCCTATTGGACATTCCTTGTTTTTATGCTGGCCAGCACCACATGGTGTGTTTAAGCACCAGCTGTGCCAGTTGTGGAGTTTATCACTCACAGCCCACTGACAAATGCTTAGCTCCACTGCAGGCTGGCATCACCATTTACTGGTACCACTCACAGACTCACAGAGGTCGGAAGACATCTCTGGAGGTCAGCCGGTCCAAACCCCCTGCTCAAACAGGGCCACCCAGGGACCATGTCCAGGCACCTTCTGAATATCTCCAAGGATGGAGACTCCACAGCCTCCCTGGGCAACCTGTGCCAGTGTTGGGGCACCCTCACAGTGAAAAAGTGTTTCCTGATGTTCAGAGGGAACATCCGTGTTTCACTTTATGCTGAGCACCACTAAGAAGAGTCTGGCTCCATCCTCTTTGCACTCTCCCTTCAGGTATTTCTAGAAATGGATAAGATGCCCCTGAACCTTCACTTCTCCAGGCAGAACAGACTCAGGTCTCTCAGCTCTCCTCATATGTGAGATGCTCCAGTCCCTTCATCACCTTTGTGGCCCTTTGTTAGACTCTCTCCAGTATGTCCATGTATCTCTTCTACTGGGGAGCACAGAACTGGACTCATCACTCCAGCTGTGGCCTCACCAGAGCTGAGTAGAGGGGAAGGACCGCCTCCCTCGACCTGCTGGCAATATTTCTGCCAGTGCAGCCCAGGACACCGTAAGGTTTCTTCGTGACAAGGGCACACTGCTGGCTCGCTCAGCCATTAAGCGCACGTGGAGCATTAATGCCAGTACAAGGCAAGACGGGGCAGTAAGAGGAAGCTGAAGGAGGACTAGGGCAGATATCCCCTCAATAAAACGGGTTCACAACATGGATAGCAGACCAGGTGGATACCTGGAGCAATTCAGAGCAACCATGTCTGCATTCCAATGCTTGCGTAGCCTCTCCGTCCCTCTCAGTCACACTTGATGCTATTTCTGAGCACTGTGCATGACCTTTTCAGATACTCCACAGCAGGAACATTCGCTTTATCTCACGGATGTCACTTATTTGTGCCTACAGTTCTCTCTATGGCTAAGTGCCAAAAAAGGTGATCCCAATGACTTTTGGATGATCCTGAAAATGATAAATCTTTTCTTTTTCATGATGTCCAGTTTTAGCAGGTGTTCAAACTATCTTCCCTCTCACCACACACACATGCATTTCCTCCACCTTGTTGACCATTTTTCCTCACACATAACCAAAAAGAAAAAAGGAGAGATCCTGCTTTTGTGGAATTTTCCTACTGCAATTTTAAAAGCTTACTGCCTGCGATGAGAAACAAGCTGTACTCCATTTTTGTCATTGGTTATAAATGCTTAAACAGCAGGACACAGAGTTAGGAGGTCTTGGCCCATCAAAACACCACTTCTGGATTGCAGCAGATGGTACCCAGGGTGGATCTGCAGCAAGGGCACCTTTCACAGAGCATGAGCAACACACAATCTTGCCAGCAAGCTGAAAAAACACCCCAGTAAACTTGCTAGAAAAACTTCACCTTGCAAAACAATGCAAAGTTAGATCAGATGAGTTAATTTCAACCCTACCTTGGAGTCGCTGCTGCTATTCTACAGAAATACGTACTTTTATTATTGTTACTCTTTTTTTTTTTACTATTGCAAAAATAGTATCATGTTTTTATCAACTCTGGCTTGAGTCCTGTCCTGTGCATCCACTACATTAAACATTCCATTCTTTTTAAGAATGGAAGTACCATCTCCTGTCTGCAAGTCAGCTTTACTGCTGACCTTTCATACACAGGGAATCAAATTGGAAATAAAAACCACACGGCATCAAGTATGTGACAGAGTGCCTAAAACATTTCATTTGACATCCACTGAGATAACCCAAACAGCTCACTCATTGCTTCATCATTTCTGATTAATGCACTCACCCAAATACATGCCAGTAAAACCCTTCCTGAAACTACTCTCCATTTGTGATGTTCACATGATAGACTGGAGTGCACGTGACTAGTCCGTATGTGTATTAGTAACAAAACATACTAGAACCCTACAGGCCTATCCTTCCTGCCTCCTGATCTCTCCCTTGTGAAATCCTGTAAGTTTCAAAATCCTGACAAGTTTTTATAGAGCCAAATTGAAAACAGCATCACAGCAATATCTTTTTCTCCCTCTTTCACAGTATTTCCTTTCTAAAGCTGTACTGGGCTGTAGCATAAGATAGGTCTGATTTGGGCCACTCCTAGCAAGTGAATTTCTGCAGATAAACTCTTTCTGCAGAACAATCTTCTCTTCCACTACAGTGAAGTTGGCTTGTTTAAGCACCTACTAAGTAAAAACGATGAACTTCATACACCTGGGAAACAGATACCCAGATGCCATCCAGTGGCCCTAGGAGGAATCCAAGGAATTTCAAGGTAATTTCTATTAATAGGAAAGTTATTTTAAGTAATTTTAGAGGACTTTCCCACTCTTTTAGTGTCTTTAATGTCATTTTGAGCTCACATTCACCACTGTGTCCAGGTCTAAGGGATTCTAAAGAAAGATCTCGATGTAAAGGTGTCGGGTTTTTAAATAAACTAACAGTTTAAAATTCCTGGTGTCTTTAGTGTCACAAACACAGTATAAGTTTGGGTTTTTTTAATTGGAGCTGATGTATGTAACTTGGGGTTTTTCCCGCAGTTATCTGCTAATGTAATCACCACAAATTCATGACAAAAAAAAGTCCTTACTGAAATATTAAATGTTTCCCTCCTTTATACCCAATACGCATGTGACAATAACAACAGAAAAAGAAAAAGGCATTTATTGACTTGAATTGTGTTTAACCATATTCCGCATGAATTAAGGTTCTTCTGTGTATTTGCATGAGAGAAGAACATATAAACAACACCACAGCTTTTACTGGCACAAACCTAGTGTGATCATATGATTCCTGACTGCCCCAAGTATAAACTACAGAGGTCATTTTTAAATGGCATAACAAGATTTACAGCATTACACCACAGATTTTCCTCACACTTATTTTTTCTTTGTACCCTACATTATTTTCAAAATTAAATACATTCCAAATGTATAATTGGATAAAAGCTACAAGCAAGGATCAAGCGCAAAGCACTCAGATTCCAGAAGCTGCTTGTAAGGTAATTTTCTTGGTCACTTCTTGTATGCCTACTGGGAGACTGTCACAGAGTAAAATGAAATCAAAAGATCAGAATTCTGGCCTTGGTTAGGTGCAGCAATAAAAGCCTTACTGATTTCAGTAGGGCCAAAATTTCATCTACAAGGATTACTTCCTTTGACCTAAATGTACTTTGAATCAATCCCTAATAGCCTTTGAGAGGCAAATGGTTCCTCTCATTTGGGATTAACTCATAGTATGGTCTATGGTGTGATCAGATGTTGCTGGGTTTTTACATCCAATTACAAGGTGATTAAATAATTTTCAAATTCAAAACACTCCTTTGTTAATAAATTTTTAAAAAATTAAGACTTAATTTGAAATGGTTATAAACCACAGTATTTTAATTTGACATTGACAACAGTGATGCCTTATTACTGCTTACTGTGGCCAAAATGTTCAGAAACTACCGAAAATATTTTTCTCTAGGCGGAAAGAACTCCAAAGGGTCTGATCGTTGAACCTCAACATGGACGTTGCGAGAGCTGTTAGCTGAGGTGTTTCTAGCACAGGCCCCTCAGTTCGTACACCCAGTGGTCAGAACACGAAGGAGCAGTGAAAGGCAGATGTGAAATAATGACATCAAGCTTCAGGAGACAGATTTAGCAGAGACACCGTACCCTGTCTGCTCTCTGCATCAGGAGCATTGCACACAGCTGAGCCATAACACAGGCCCTTCAGAAAACAGGTGGCTCTTCAGCCATGCTGACACTGTCAAAATCATCCTGGTATGATACTGCTTCCTTTTAAAAATTGCTTTCAGTTCGTATAGGACTGGAGGAAGAGTGGAGGTGAAACTTGACCCCATGCAACAGAAAAACACCTCTGAAGGATTCTCCCCCTTGGACGGATGCATCTCAACCAGGAAGGAAAGCCAGCACCAGTCCCTTATGCCTCTGACTGGTTTGTGTCTTCCACCACCAGCGTGAGGATAAAAGCTCTCTTGTGCTGCTCTGAGGCTCATCTGACCCTTTAATGAGCTGATTCAGCTCATTAACCTGACAAGGAATTACTCCTTGGTTTTTTTGTTTGGTATTTGCTGTGTTTGTTTCCTAGAACCAGAGGAAGGAAAACAGTGGGAGCATGAGCGCGTGGGTGGAACAGCTCTGCCTCTTTCAGCAGCAAAATTTCTAGATCAGCCTTTAAAAACTTATGCTGCTTTTTAAAGGTACTGTACATCTTGACTTACAAAAGAAGAGCAAATCCTTCAGGAATTTATTAAAAAGAAAAATGGATAAAAGCGTTGTTACTTGACAAGCTGGCTTCAGTGAAGGAACCAGCTTCAAGAAGCATGTTTCCTCTCCTGTCCTTCTCACCCAATGTCACCAACACCCACACTGTGTTATCACAATTGGTACGGAGCCATTCTGAAACTATCTTCATTAAAAATCACCCACCCACCCTCAACGTTATTCTTCAGCCAGACCACTTAATTGCAGTGGTTCATAGGATGGCCTTCCAGCCAACAGTAACCGCCAAGCAGGCAGGGAACATTAGCATCAAGACCTATCAAGGCAGAAATTTTTCTTTCTTTAAACTGGCTCTGCTGTGAAGCTTATGTGACAGACAAACAAGCCAATCATACATCAAAGGTAAGGAAGGTGCTGACTGGGGACAAAATATGAGCAAGAAGAATCTCAGATAATTCTCAGCCAAAGACAAGGCATGAGAATGAGCTGAGGAACAACAGGCAAAGCTCTGATGCTTCACAACATCCCTGAAACACCAGAGATTTCAGACTCAAATACATTACATGCATGCTATGTGCAACCCTCCTCCAAGACAAACTTCTGTTTTACTCCCAAATAGACTAGTGGCAATTAATAACAATTTTATCAGACATCTGTAACTTGTTACAGGCCAAAAGGAGAGAAAAGAAATTGTCTGTAGAACTGCTCTCCCTGAACACTACAGTTTCCTCACGCATCTGACATTCACCACTGGCTGGGTACAGAAGTGATTTTCTAAGCCTAATTCACAGAGTAATGAGCTCAAACACAGAAAAGCTTCTCAGGCTGCTTACCTCTTTTGCACTTTTAATTTTGGCCAAGAAAGTGTACAGTTCCATTGTTTCAGCAAACAGAGCCCGACATACTGCTTGATAGTGGTTCGGTGCCTCTGATCGGGTTGGCAAGTGAGCAGCACACAGCTAGAGAGAAAAATAAATAGCAGTATCAAAACAATGCCCCATTGCTTTCATTAATGCCTCAGAGCATGATATAACATGAAAGTGAATGCAATGGAAAAATTAGGGCACAAAAAGCCATGAGACATATAAGTTTAGGCAGAAACTGTGGTGTATTTTCTAAACCTTCTGCTAACATTTATTTGACAAGAAGAGTTCTACAAGGATGGCAAGGGATTGGTTGACCAGGTCCTGGAAAAATCTGAAAATCAAGTCATTGTCTTTTCATTTAAAAAAAAAGATGACATAATAGTGAAGGAGAAACAATCAATCTTGCGATACCAAATTCTGTGAAAACGTACTTAATTCAAACCAGTTTTAACAGCAAGTGTTGGTTAGCTTCCTATGAATGTGGAAATGTGTCCCCATCAATTTATGAAAGGTTGGAAAGTGAAGCAAGGAAAAAAATAAAGTGTAATTGTCAAGCTGAAACTCTGATTTCATTTATTTCAAGCAGTACAAAGATTTTAAAGATCAGCAAGAGCCATGGAAGCACAGGCTTATTACTTCACCTCAGGCATTCATGGGCATCACACACAGGTGATGTGAAAAAACAATGAATGATAGACATTTTCATACATGCTAAGCCTGCAAAACTCTGAAAGCATGCTCAAAACATTAATAATAATTCACAGGTACTGTTAAGCAGTCTGTCCAGCACTGCTTTTAGAGTAAAATATGCAGCTCCCATTTTTGACAAAGGAAGTTTCACTGAAACCAGCCTTTATATTTCAAACCAAGAATGTGAATGGTATGAGCAACATCCAGCTTCATGAACATCCAGCTTCTGCTACTGTAGATTAGCTCAGCATCGACACTAACAGTTGTAGTATCTTTTTCCCCTAAGTCAAATCCATCACCTGTAAGTATTTGTCATGGAAGTCTTGCCTGGAAACAGACAGAACATACATAATTTGTTCCCTAAAACGTTTTAAATCAGAAAATCCCTGTAGCTGAACCTAGAGCACCCATATCATATATCATACTGGTGTATATATTAAAATAAAACAGAACCTTAAACCAGGCCTTAAAATTTGTCGTTACTGTGGTTTTATAGTAGCTATTTATTATATATAGCACTCTATTTATAGCTGTAGAGCTAAAACTAAGAACAAGCCAAAACCTGAGGCAGTAGGTGGCTACACTCAGATCTCCAGAATTAAAGCTTGAGACAAAAGCCTCTTCAGAAGAGCCCCTAATTGGCCTAGTGACATATATGTCCAAATCTCTCCCGTTATTAGAGTGAGCACTGTGGTTACAAAGGGCACAATGCATGTGAAGCTTGGACCGGTTTTTCATATTGCTTGCAATTTGATTTAAATCCACGCTGCCACTGAAAGGTGTGGTCCTGTGGCCTCCAGCCGTACGTGTCCACTGATGCCCTTCTGGCACCAGAGCTCAAGCCCTAACTCAGACAGGATTACTCACCCCGACAAAAATGAACAACGCGGAGGAAGTGGAGCAGGAGACAATTACTCTTCGTGGCACGGACACACACGTAGTAGTGCAGGCAAAAAGGAGCATGGGGAGAACACTGCCAGAATGGCTATAAGGAGGAAGGGCTAAACAACTGCTCTTGGTTGCAGGCAGGTTTAGACTGGCTCAATCTCACTCACAAGTTGCTTTCTAAGGCCACAGGTCCCTTGTTATCCTTAATTTCTTCCAATTAGTATAACAATACAGAGATCAGTGGTCGCATTTGGTCAAATTTGAGAAATTTTACAAGCACAATATGGACTCCTGCAATACCCTATTCTGATTATTGTACCCGTGTGTATATAAATATATATATATATCCTTTTAGTCATAGAAAAGAATATATATAAGGGAAGTTTATATGTATATGTGTGTATTTTTCTTCCTTCCTATATACTTCACTTAGATATGGGGAACGCAAAGCCAAAATTCATGAAACTGTCCTTGATTCCTCTCTTTCAATTTTTATACTGCCTTAATGATGGCCAAAATATTCTTAATTTTCATATTTATTTCTGGATAATAACAAGGACATAGTTGAGAGGAAAAAAACCCACTTTTTTTTCCTTTTTTCTTCCTTGATCTTTCTCCCTCCCCTCCTCTTCTTTTTTTTATTTTCCTTTTTTCCTTGTTAACAAATCATACAATCTCCTTTGCGAGTAAAGGGAGAAAAAAACCAGAACAGATGCACCTGTAATATGTGCTACAGTGAGAACATGTACCACAAAGATAGAAGCTCTTAAATATTTTCCTTGACTTAATGAAAAAGTCCCAACATTTAAAAGACCAAATTCTGACTATGGTTAATTTGTGTTCCTTTCTCTCTATAACTAATTATGTCCTTACCTGCCTTACCGTATATTCAGTAAGCTATTTCTGGTTATTTATTATAGTACAGATAAAAAGGATTTCATTTAAAAATACACCACTTACATGAATAACAATAAATAATAACAGCAGCAATTTCAAAAAGGTCCTAAAATGGTACAAGTCTTCATAGCTTGGAATGAAATTTTATTATTATACAGATTGCACACAGGTTATTTAGAAGCATGTTAATTAGAAACAATTTGCATCAAATATTGAGAAAGTTAATGAAATGCAGCAGTGGCAAGTTCAAGCACGGGATGGATATAATCTTGATTCTATTATTGAACACGAAGACAGCAAAAAAAAAAAATTAAATGCCTGCTGCTGAACTTAGTTACAAAAGCAACCACATAAAAAGTTAACAATTTGGTTTGTAAACATTAGGCTTCAGATATTCAAAGAGGGTCAGCAGCTCCTACTAACTTTCATGTTCTGAAAAATCAATCTCTGAGTGATCTTCTATTATGTTAAGATGCATTACATACAAAAATCCCTTGTGGTAACATTAAGTCAAATGACTTAGCATAAACTTTTGGACTGGTGAAGGTAAGTCTGAAGAAAAAGGAAGATGCAAATAGGACAGACTGATTATTTTTCCCCTTCACTGTAATACACTGCACTTGCCTGTTGTTCAGAGTACCGGGCAAGCTGTAACTTCTGCATGAAAATATACTGCAATATCTAGGCAGGCAAGGCAAATCGAGTATGAAACGTCAGTCTAGCCAGAGTTCAGGACATTTATCCACTTCAAAAAAATTAAAAATCACATCTTTAATTTTATGATAGTAGCGTTTGAAAAGCTATGTTACTGTAACACCACAAAAATCATAATCAGAAGGTTTTCATGTCTGAGACATGAAAGCACAGCCATCTAATGAACTCCTCCTCTTAACGATGCCGTAGCGGCTGTGGTGCAAGAAGGATTAAGAGGTCTGCAGTCTTCGCCAGCCGTTCAGAGTTCATCAAGGAAAGGAAGCCCCTGTGTGCTGCTTATTCTGACACTTGCCTTTTCATCCCTCATGATACAACTTAAAACTATCCTCAGGGGAATGAACGCAAACAGTGCCCACAGCTTAATACAAGGGCTGTTTGTCCTGTTTCCAAGAGGTCTCAAAAGACATGGTTGAAAACAAATTATGTGGTCTTTGCAAACTGGTGAAACAGCAAAAATATTATCAACTACTGAAACATTACCCAGCTTGGCCTGTACGTATTTTCACTTGCAGTCATTGTGAAGAGCTGGGATTTTTTAAATTATTTCCCACCCCCCCCTTAACTGAGTCTATCCAAAACCCAGCTTGACCCAAAGCATTCAATCTTTGCTTAGATCACTAAGAAGATTAGAGACTGTTTCCATCCACATTCAGGGTTCACACACAAAAAAAGGCATTATGTAAATACCATAGCCTTGCCAGCTCCCCTATCCAAATTCAGCCTCAATTGACTAGGAAAGAGCACACCAAGCCAAAGCAGTGTTAACAGAAAGCACAGTGTAACCATCCAAAGAGATCAAACAGCATTTCTTGCATCTGTTTGAATATATTCCATTGTAGAGCTCCATAAAACTACTACAAATACAACTGACTCACCCACCAAAGTTCAGGCAGGTTTTGCAAAACCTTTTTGGCTAGATATATGCTGGAAGCTTCATCCAAACGCTTGGCCTGCTGGAATTAAAATCTCAAAAGACCAAAAGCATTTCCACTTGCGATCACCTTGCGCAGAGGGCCTGTACCAATGCACCACAAAAAAGGAACAGGATTTCTTTTTCCCATGGGCCACAAAGACAAGCTATTGATATTATGCAAAACACACTCCCAGCCTGCAAATGCCAGGCTTGTTAAGTGTTTTGAAAGCCATGGAGTATTATTAACATAGACTTAAAAGATGTACTTTTTCTTGAGTAACAAGAAGAAACTGCTTTAACCAACTGAACATGCAACTGTGTTAGGTATCTGCCTTGCCCTTTGCAGTATGGGACTGCAACAGGTTCAAAAGAGAAAACTCAGGTTGCGATGCCTTCCCAAGTCGAGATTATTTTATGTAAGTTTTTATATCTGTGCAGATAAACTAGACCTTGTAATTAGACTTCTTTGTTTGTTCAGATTTGGTGGTATTTTTTATACATATCCTTCTATTCCTATAAATATGAACTTCAGGGAGTCATCTGCCTTACCAGAAAAATCTTACCAAGACAATACCCATGTATTTGTAAAACCCAACAGAAAATTTTGCTTCGCTTTATTATCCAGAATAACGTTAAGGGATGGAGCGTTCAGAGGAATAAGAAGTCTTTTGACATGAGTTTGCAAGATGTTTCTGCCTGCTAGGACCGCCCCTGTGCCTAGTACCAGTTCACAGCTGCTCTCCCAAACCTTCCAAGCAGAGACCCGCCCCTGGCTCCGCCACTTATCACTGCAGTGGACCAAGGACAACCTGATCCCTCTGATAAAGGAATTTAGGGGAATACTACCAAGGTAAGACTGATAAGACAAAAGGGTTGAGGGCAGAGTTAGCTATTAATCCACAAAATAAATTTACAGAAAGGATTCACAGAAAGTTACTCTTCCCAGAGAGCTATCTGCAGAAGCTTTGTAACTTTTTAAATTGATATTTTA